TTATAAAATGACTATAACTCAATAAAAAAAAGTGGAAAAAAAAGAGTCACCCTCTGGACTGTGTTGAAAGGATCACAGGATGCCAGTCACATTCAGCTGAACTAAAAGCAGAATTAAGGCAAGCTGTCGAAGAACAGATGCTCTCCCACACAGAGACGGAGGAGGACCAGGATCTTCTGACATGTTCAGTGCTCAGAGGAGAGAAGATGAATTTCTCCCACACATATAACATGGGATTAGCACGGGGCGGTAAGCAGGGCAGTGACCGCAGGGCTGGGCATGCCAGGCAGAACTTGGTCCGATGGTTCCACAAACAAACTAATAGGAGGAAGTAACACTGAGCTGAGCACCCTGCCTCCTTGAGGACACAGAAGTTGGCGTCCTTATGTTGTCAAATCATAAACCCAAAGAGGTCTTGTTCGTTGATTACGGTGAAAACAAAGGAGAACAGCAGCCGATTTCCGCAGGGATGAGGCGGGGAGGATGGGCACGCGGACTCCAGCAACCGACGGGACGGAACGTAAGGCAGCCGCACCGGCAGCAGCAGGGGGTTTATTTTTAGCTCAAACCCTGGGCAACGTCATTACAAGCACGACCAAGCCCAGGGACAAGCTGCCGAACGACCGAGAAACTGCCGTCACTGGAGAGACGCGGGACCGCAGGGAGGCAGGGCAGGCAAGGTCACCCCAGGGGTGACACCCCGGGCCTCGGAGGGTCAGCGGGGCTGGACAACCGCATGCACACTGCCCGCTCCGTCCTCACAAACCTGGATGCGCCTGAAATGACCACCCCAAAGCCCTCCTCCCTGACGCACAAAGGGGATCACTGCTACCGCGTCGTGACTTGTACGGTGACATTCATGCATTTCAAATTAGACACAGCAGTGCAGTTGCAGGGACCTATGACCTCTAAGGGTCACATTTTAGAAAAGCAATTGGAATAATTAGAAATACTGCCATACGAAAAAAAAAAGTACTGCTATTTTGCTCTGAGATGCTAAGTGGTCCAAACTCCAAACTTCAACAGTCACTTCAGAACCAGATTTTATCCAAAGTCGTCGATCCCTGGACTATTACATTAGAATAGGAGAGTAAATGTCAAGCGCTCTGTTTAGACCACACAGAAATCTCCCCTTTGGAACACTACTAGCAAGTGAAAACAGCAGGTTATGAAGAATCATGATCCCACTGATGTGAAATTACCAACTTACATCGTGAGGTCTCTGAAGAATGGCCACCTAATCCTAGGAATGGAAATACGTGGGCAGTGGGATTTCGGACAATTTTCCTTTCAACTGCAGGGTTTTGGGGTGATTTTTCTATCATCACAAAGCTATAAAGGAACCAGAGAGCTGGATTTAAATTTCAGCTTTATACCGTCTTAGCTGTGTGATCTTGGGAAAGTTACTTAACCTCTCTGTGCCTGAGTGACCTCACCTGTAAATGGGGATAAGACAGTACTTCTGAGTGCTGTGAGCGGGCTAAACGTGTTAGGGCACAGAAGGCGCTCAGACCAGTGTTGGGGCAGGGCAAGCCACCTCCGTGTGAAACTGACCTTACTGCGCTCAGTAAAACCAGCTGAAAAAGCAACCCTTTCAGGGCCAAAAAGTAAAAAGCGGAGCAAGAAAACCTCATTGCTTAGGTTTAAATAACAACCCCCCCAAACACCAAGACAAAGAACCTAGCAGACTGATGGCAGAGACACACCAGTGCACAGAGAAGAGGTCCCGGGCAGGCAGGTCCCCTCGGATCTGGGCCCAGTTGCGGGAGTCAGCGTGCACAGGAGGGAAAGGTGGCAGCCCCACGCGTGCAAATCTCTGCTCCCGATTTAGCAGCAGAACAGAAGACATTCTAACGGGGTCAGCATTTGTGGGCCAGAAGGTTCGTCCTGATTAAAGAGAAAGAAATCTTGGAGACACCTTAATTGACAGACACTGGGATGTTCACTTTGAGGGGATCTGCAGAAAGCGAAAATCACATTTACACACTCACTTTGTTAGGAGGTGACAATGAAAACGATGCAGGACCCTGAACCCTGGAGTCTCTCTGAGAGGGAGGTGATCAACAGAATCAGTAAGTGAATTAGGAGGTACATTAGAAGGTGGTAAGAGTTACAGAGAAAAATGCAGCGGGTGAAGCTGGGGGGTTGGGGGGGGCAGAGAAGGAGGCACCTGAGCTGGGATCAGATAAGCAGAAGTTCAGCCTACGTCCCTCCACGACGATCAGCTCTGATGAGCACTGTGATCTGGCTGGAAGCGCTCAGCTGAGAGGAGGTGACGGTTACCCCTGTGCTGCCTGTATCCTGGTCACCCCTCAGCTTGGACGATACACACTCTGGTTATTACACAAATCCCCTGCTGCACACAGTCTGTTGGTGTTCGTTATTCCACTTTCTAAAATCTAAAGACAGGGGCTCCTTGCATCACCTTCTCCATAAATATTTCCAGCAAATAAGAAGAATGAGGAGTAAGAGAGCAGTCATCAGCTGTTTCCTGGGAACCCGACGCCCACTCCCCCATTTCCTAGGAAGAGAGCCCGGACTTCCGTCGAGGAGCAGAGCCTGCCAGACGCCCAGTGGTTCAGGGGGAGCTGAGAGCAGCCACCGCCCAAGGGGGAAGCCTGGCCCCGCGAGCAGGAGGGCCAGCCCCCTCCCCCAAACTCAGTACAGCGCCAAGGAGCGAGCACAGGACCCAGACCAGGTGGATGAGGGTCCTCAGGGCCGGGCGGGGGGCGCGGGTCTGAGCAGAGGTGCCCTGCTTCCTGGGGTTGCCAAGGCGGCAGAATGATGGCCTGGAGCTGCTGCTGAGGCTACCTTGGCCACCCCGGGGCAGGGACGCCAGTGGGTGGGCCTAAAAATGAAGTCAGTTTAAAGGTAAGCAAGCAAAGGAAATGGAATAGACACAGCGGCTGGGGACAGCCCTTGGGGAGGGCTGGGCTCAGCCCCGCCCTGAGACAGGCACCCCGAGCTAACCCAACCCTGTACACCGACCCTACTTCAATTTTAAAAAATTTACTAAAATAAAAAAAGACAGGCACCCCCTTATTTTTCTCACAGCCGAAGAAAAGAACATTTCCTTTTTCTGCTTCAGTCATTTCAAGCTGGGTTTCCACCATCTGCAACCAACAGTCTCGCCAAATACAGAGACTGTCGGTATCTGGTGGGGTTTTTTCCCGCTAGAAAAGCCAGTACTTTCTCGGGAGAGCCAACAACAGCATGTCCTTACCCGTTCCTGGCCAGCCGTGTCCCAGATCAGGAACTTGTGAAGTTCATTTCCACAAGGCACAGTTTTGGTCATAAAAGACGCCCTGAAAGAGAGAGTCTCCACGTTACCAATTATCCCTAGAACCTTCACTAAGACTCCAGCTTCAAACAGGCGAAGGTGGCGTCTCCGCAGGACCCAGAAGCTGCCCCCTCGGGGCCGCCGAGAGGAAAGGAGACACCCCTCACCCAAGAGAAAACACTGCATTTTCAGTGAGTCCAACTGGAGGTCTCAGGGGGAAAAGGCAAAGTCTGCCTTCAAAAGCTCTGTTTCTAAAACATTTATCTTCAGTTGTTCTAAGACATTATGCCTGAAATCAAAAAAGAAAATAAAACCTTAGATTTGGGGGGTTAGGGGGAGGGTACAGCTCAGTGGTAGAGTGCACGCTTAGCATGCATGAGGTCCTGGGTTCCATCCCTAGGGCCTCCTCTTAAAAAAACGTAATTAACTCCCCCCCACCACCAAAATAAAATAAATAATACAATAATAAGTAACTAAAA